AAGGGGCTATTTTAAAAAGTACTACTTTTTGTGGGGGGAGATGGTCCCCTTTTCCTTGTCCCCAAATCCTCTTATGTCTTCTCCACAAAATGCCCTTCTTTTTTCCCATAAGCTGACTTGTAGATTCAGATAGCAATGTGATAAAAATACCATGTTGTATTTCCAGTGAACTCAATTAGATGAGATGAATTAATTGGATTTTTTTGACATGTCTCTGAAAGTATAAGATACTTGCTTTTGGGACTCGCAGGCATGGTGGCCTGGGAGCTTTCTCAGTTTGCTGCTATTCAGGACATGGCATAAGAACTATCATTTGAAGCCTGTCATTTCAGTCCCCCTTGGGGGTATAAAAATGATGTAGTGATTTTTTCAGATAGCAGAGCATAAATCAGCAGCCGTCTGGCCTGCCCGTCAGCCCGGGGCATTTCCAGGTTATCACCCCCCTCATCAGCAGAAGCCTCTATTACGCATTTCTCTGTCCACACCGAGCAGGTGAGATGGTAATCTAAGAGTCAGTTTCCAACACACACAGAAGGACTCTTGGAAGTTTTTCTCCTCTCTCTGTTCTCTCACCCTGTATAATTTTAGGAATCCAGGCATGCAGGCTTTGAGGGTCCTCCTTATCTCATGTCATTCAGGGGCTGGAAAATTCTGGAATTTGGATGGGGGGTGAGGAGCTGTAGCCCTTGAATCCCTTTTGGGGTCTTAGTTCATTCTACCTTGCATTATAATTGTATAGAGGAGAACACTCCTCTATATCCCAGGATCCACCCCCAACGCAGTAGTTTGCTTGGTATGTGCTTAGTAAATGTTATTGGCCCTTTGTGATTCTTTCTTCAGTCTAAAAATTCCAGAACCAAAACAGAAGGTAAGAATATGGCATATTCTGGACTTTTTCATTTTTTTTTTTTTCTATAGCATATGTCCTTTTCAAATATAGACCAAAGGAGTCAGACAAAAAAATATTGGGATGAAAGTATATAGCACCTCCTTTCATGGTAAAAAAAAGTGTGCCCGATAAATTTTTTCTATCTACCATTTGCCTCCAGATATATTTTAATCACAAAGTTATTTGGATGTTTCATACTCTACTTGTGCTCAAATTGTTAAGCCTTGTGTCAGTTATAACCCTGAATGTCAGTTAGCTCCATGAGAACAGGGATGGTGTGTATTTGTTTTTAATCTGTTTCCCTGGCACTTAGCTCAGTGCTAAACTTATAGTGGATCCCCAAGAAATACTTATTGAATGAGTGTCTTTTGGTCATGGTGGACAGTGCAGACAGAAAAACTTTTGGAACTGAATTGTTAGAATTCTTTAATTTTTATTAGTATAAACAACCCAAAGGGAATGTTAAATAGAAAAAGTAAGTTTAGATTTTTTAACCCCCTCTTGAGGATCAAGATAGTAAGAGTACAATTAAAGATTTATGAAAACCAGATAATGATTTGCACCTTTGAAATAATTTGAGCCTTTGATTGTCATTTTAGCTACAAGTAGGTTACCAGTCATAGCTCTATAATATCCCTGGAAGCCTGCTTTATGCAACTTGAACTGCACTGTATTATCTAAGACAAACCTCAGTTCTTGGCCAGGTACAGTTTATATTGCTCTGAAGCTGGCGTCCTTGGGGGGAGCAGGCTGAGATGGTGAACCCATTGGAGAGAATTGTGGTGGAACTCTTTAGCAACTCCATATTAGAAATCATGCTCCTGTTTACTTCTTTGGCACTTTCATTGCCACCTCCAAGGAAGGGACAGACTGTGTCCTTGGGATCAGAGCCTCAGTTCACTGTCTTCTGATGAATGGGACAACAGTGTGCCATGCTCAGCCAACCACTTGTGCAAAACAGCTTTCCTTTTTGTTTTGTCCCTTAGCATAAGCCATACATGAGAGGTGCAGGGATATAGTTCTGTGGTGTCATCTACCAGGGACATGATTTTCCACAGATTCAGCTTCCACGGTCCATCCCTAGGCCACCTTGTTCTTTTTTATAGGTTTTTGGTTGATACATGCTTCTCTGCAGAACAGCACTTGGCGCCTCCCACCATCACCGACAAGGATGGATTCTGTACACCTCTTCTTCCTAGGTGTTTTTGAGGGACGATCAGAGCTACTTCTTTGTGGCTGTTTACAAAAGCCCTCTCTCCAGTCTGAATCACCTTACCCTACTCTCGACTTCTTCCTTGTAGTTACCCTTTTTTCAGAAACCCTCCCTCCTTCCTCTGAAGGCTTGTGCTTGCACACACATTCACACACACACACACACACACTTCCTGCCTCCTGGCTCTTCCTTATCCTGTGTCTGGCCTCCTACTACCGTTCACGGTAAATGCTTTTAGCACGTAATAGTTCTTATCTCAGAAGCTTGATTTTATGTTTAATTTTTAAAATACAGCCACCTAAGGGTTACAGCGATATCCAGTGAATGTTTTGGAAAAAAAAAATACTTAAAAAAATCCAGACTACAGGGGTAATACTTTAGCATTGTTAAATTCAGACATCATAGAAAGTGAAAGTTTCCTATAATATGTTTCCCATGACCAGCTTGAACAGTTTAGTGTATATTTCTTTTTTTCTAAGCACATACTATTTTCTTAAAAATAGGATCATCATGTACATACTCTTTGTAATTTCTTTTTCTTTAGAAAAGAAGATTAATTATATTTCAAGCATTGTTCCATGTCAGAACATACAGATCTCTCCTTCATTCTGTTTTAATAGCTATAAGGTATTCTGTTGTGAAAATAATTCTTTGGGTGGGTCACAAGTGAGTGTGAAATGTAACATTTGACTCTTGATCAGTCTCTATTTCTATATATTCGCCCCGATTCTTTGAGAACAATGAGTACCATAATATATTTTAGTAAAATAAGGGTTTTTGCGGGGGAGAGGGGAGAGGGAATAACTAATTTAAATGGTTTTTTTCTCAGTTGCCCACCCCTGTTTAAAGATCTGTTTTAAGGGCTGAGATGTTAACTTTTTAATATCCTAAGGCTTAAATTAAACTTACTGATTTTTTTAGTATAAAAATACTGTATAGTTTAATTTTTCTATTTAGCCAAAAGACCAAAGTCCACTAACCAAAAAATTATCAGTCTCACGTGAATAATAAATAAAAGCTTTCCTTGAATTAGGACTGCTCTGAGATTCAGAATTTTATATGGTGGAAGTTGGGGTATGACCCCTTAAATAAGTGTGGCTAGTTAAAGGTGTATCGATATTCTTTGTGGAAAGGGGGCTGCCCGGTACAATTGTGGTCTTTTCACATTACTCCACGTGGTGCTTTCAAAATGTTTATTTTTTATCTTGGTACTAGTGAGTACAACTCATAATTGGCCAGATGATATCTAAGTCTAGGACTAGAGTGGTGAGTGGGCCTTATTATGATTTGATCAAAAGTAAACGAGAAAACAGAAGCAAAGGGAAAAAAGAAGTAAGAGAAGGATCCACATTTTTCTTATTGTGGGGCTAAAATGCTGCATGCTGAATTTTTACTTTCTGATTAGAATGAACTGTTGAACAGATATGATTTCTTTCTTTGGGGTCAGGAAGAAAAACTGTCAAATTTTAGTTTACTGTTCTTTTCTCTAGGTCTCTCCCCCATATCCAGCCATTTTTTTTTTTTATTTTAAAGCTTGGCTGTATTAATCAGATAGCAGCCACTGTTTAACATGTCCTTCTGTGGTCTAAGTGTTTGCAGATTAAGTTTGAACCAAGCCAGAAATCCCCTTGCATTTTCTGATGTAGCAGAAATGAACCTGGCTCATTCCACCTCACAAGCTTTACCCAAATGGGGCTGGGCGCGGTGGCTCACACCTGTAATCCTAGCACTCTGGGAGGCCGAGCGGGAGCATTGCTTGAGCATAGGAGTTGGAGACCAGCCTGAACAAGAGTGAGATCCTATCTCTACTAAAAATAGAAAAAATAAGCCTGCCATTGTGGTGTGTGCCTTTAGTCCCAGCTACTATAGGGAGGCTGAGACAAGAGGATTCCTTGAGCCCAGAAGTTTGAGGTTGCAGTGAGCTACGATGACGCCACGGCACTGTACCCAGGGTTACAGAGTGAGACCCTGTTAAAAAAAAAAAAAAAAAAGAAAAAAGCTTTACCCAAATGGTTCAGAAGGGATCTACCTGATTTCATAAAGAAGGGTTAATTTGGAGTCTGGTTTAATACAGGTACTCTTAAAACACATTCATTTTTTTTTTCTCACCTCCAGGCATAAACATTGGCCTTAATTTCCCCAGAATGAGTCTATGAATGACCTTGTTCAAGTATTCCTTGCAGATGTCAGTTCCCAAGTAATAAGCTTGGGATTGTTCTCTTCTCAGCTTGCCAGCCGGGAGAACAAGGTGTGTTCAGCAGTTGCCGTTCGATATATTTACTCTCTACCTGCTGGCTTCAAACAGTATTAATTTTTATGTGCTCATTGTGCATTGTGTTTAATTAAAAGCAGTTCTATTCGCAGAGGCACTCATAGGATTTTTTTTCCCTGAAATGAATAAAACAAATAGGCATCTGGTATTTGTTTTGTATAACACAATCCCCATAAAATGAAGAGTAATAAAACATAATTATCTGTAAAGGCTTGTTTTATAAGCCTGAGAATGGGCTTGTTTCTACCAGGTTTTTAAATTCTACTCAGAGGATTTAAAGAGTCTTTGTACATTAATACATAACAACAATAACAGCAAATGCTTCCCAATTACATGCATGAATCCTACTTATCTTTTATTAAACAAATGTTTTTTTTTCTGTTACAGTGCACATGATAAAAGTTTGCCATTACATTCCTTTTATGTGAACACATTAGGTTGAAGGAAAATATTTACTTCCTGTTCTATATTCTGTTCAATCTGTATGGCTTTATTTATGATTTTTCCCCCTCAGCATAATTAAAGAAATAACTTTATAGTTGGTGGTTGACTTTTTTTAGGTCACAGACCACTCTGTGGATTCTAAAACCTCCTTTCAGAAAAATATACATCAAACTTTTACATATGTTTTTATAGGGTTTGTAGACCTTCCGATCCTTGTTTAAAGACCCCTGCTGATGCCTGATAATTATTTTGAAAACTGCACTTCTCATCTGAAGGTTTTAGTTTCAGTGTATGAGTATCTGATGAAAGAAATTCATTCAATGGTTTTGTAGCGTTGGATTTAATTTCAGGGTTGGGCTCCTTTCTAGGAATGGAGGAATACTGTAATATGGGGACGAAACTTCAGAGCATAGTATAAAAATTATTAATTCAAAAGTGTACCTGCTGTCAGATTGGATGTCAGTGCCGACATCCCTAGGGGCTGCTGTTCCCAAGACTGTTTTCATTGTTTCTATCCAGCACTAGGCACGAGCCTTGAAGTAGTGAATTCATCCTCTGAGGTTGTGTGTCCATTGCTTCAAGAATAAAAGAAGTAGCAACAGAATCATGCAGCGCAGTATTTCACAGTGACAGTTTTATGTGGTTGTGTGATGTTGCAGAGTCTTGTATGTGATGTCGACCCTTTTCTTTTGAATCAAAGCACAGGGCTTTCCTGGAGAAGGGAGGCTTCAAAAATAACTAGTCTAACACAAAATTAAGCTCCTAAATAGTTATTGCATTCTGTCTACTACAAAACTAATTGCTTACAGGAAGTAAAAAGTACATATATCTAATATTTATATCCCACTTGAATAGTGGTTTCTAATTTTAGATTTCCAGCCCTTTTTTACATTGTCTTTTTGCATTGAAATTATACTGAAACATTCATATTATTATGAATGCAATCTAAATTAAATAGACAAAGATACTTGGTTTCTCCCTTCATGTTGTCATCTATTGGAGAATGACTAGCTTAAAATAAGTGCATCAGTTCCCCATCCAAAGGGAAGCTGAATATTCCAAATCTAGATCAGCAGTCACTTTGTGTGCCTATTTGAAATACCATTTTTGAACACACTTGGCAACTTAAAGTGCCCAATTAAAAGCTCTGTAAAAAGAGGAAGTCTGTAGATGTGCAATTAGTCCTTAGGATTCAGAGCGTTTCCTTTATGTGTGGAATCACTGGACACAATAGCTTTATGCCAGGTGCTTAGAATAGAAAGTATTTTTCAGGATGGATTATTTCTGTACTTGGTGCTCCTAAAATGGTTACTTAAAGAGGCTCTCAACTCCATAAAAATAGTAGTGGCGTGAAGAAATTTTGGATGTGGTCTTTCACGAAATTTTAGGCGATCAATAACTATAGCTAGCCATCTAACTGATGGGCAGTACACAAAAGTTGCTTAGGTTTCTGGACGCTCTATTTTATCTGATTGCCAATCTCCCTCTTCCCACCTTTAATTTGTTTTTTTAAGAGATGAGGGTTGGATGCCAGAGAATTAGCCAGTATTGTGTTCTTCCTTACTAAAGAATGAAGCTTCACTGAGTAGAGCCAGATGGGTTGTATATTCTGGGATTATTTGTAGTGTTTATGATAGAGAGACCCAAAACACTAAGCACTTAATAGCTTTCCTTATTTACAAGTCAGATTCATCTAAGGGACATTATTCTTTTATTTTTCTGGTGCTTGAAATGTTCCTTTAAAATAGGTTATCACAGTGCTTACCGCGGCAGCACATATACTAAAATTGGGATGATACAGAGAAGATTAGCAAATAATTTTTAAAAAGTATTTAAAAATTTTGTTAAAAAAGATTATTAGAGGATACACAGTGGCACAAAATTTGTTGCTTGTGAAAATGCAGAATGGATTAAGCTTTTCTTTTTTAATGCTCTGTAACAAAACAGGTCCATTTTATTTCAGTAAAAACACTGATTTTTTTGCCTAAGTCTCACACACACACAGTTAACATTGTGTAGATAAGTGGCTCTTGTTTCCCAGTTGTATAACAGATGCATTCTGTTAAAGTTTGCAGTAAAGTGAATGTTTATTAAGTTAATTATTTTTCCCCAGTGACTTCTAGTGTAAAAATCCTGTTGTCTTCCGCTGGGCTCTGGATATAGTATGTTCTCCGGATATAGTATAGTATGTTTGGTAAGAATACCAAAAAACCCCAGAAAAGAAACAACCGCCAACCCCCTCCTTTAAATCGTATAAATCCAGAGGAAGTGCTAACTTTCCAATGAAGCTTCTGATGACACTCAATATATTGCTCCCCCATCTTAAGCTGTGACATATGACTTTACTAACAAATGGTAACACAAAATCGTATCACAATCTGGAAGTTGTGACCCCTTTTCCTCACTCTTCTTCCCTTTGTCCCCATGGGAGAGAGAACAGTCACCAAGGCTTTAGCAAATAGGTTATTTTAATAACCTCAGCATCCTTGTTACTTTTCATATCATATAAACTTGATATCCAAGTTGAATTTACTCAACTCTTTCTAAACATTTTCTCCTAACCCTTTACCAATTTGTTATAATATCTTTGAATGAAGAGGCCTAGGTGATGATATATAATGCTTAACAATGGAAGCACCCATATCTTGCTAGGAATAAAGGATCATCCCATTTCCTTTCTGTGAGCATCTACTGTGATGCAATGTGGATCATATAAAGCACTGGGGATTTAGACCTCCAGCCCAAATATATGTTATGTATTAAAAGTTCTAGCTGTGTATAAGACGGCACTGTACTTTTAAAACTATTTCATCTAATCCTTGCAAAAACTTCATCAGGGGTACGTTAGGTGGATCTGCCATTATTTTTCATTTTATCTGAAAAATAATGAGGAAACTGAGACTTAGATTTGTTCAACGATTTGCCCAGAGTCACTCAAAGTGTTAGAGGCAGAGCCAGGATTTGAACCCGGCTCAGATAACATGCCCATCTTAATTTTTTGCTTGGTTGTTGAACTGTTGAGCGAAGATCTGATCCCTACAGTCTTGGAACCTGCAGTCCACTGAGGAAGATGGCCATGCACACAACCAAGCATGAGCAAGTTCAGACTTTGTGCTCTGTGATAATTCTGACAAAGAGGCTTTTAGTGGATCCCAGGAGGTAGCATCTGGAACATAATCACCTTGCAGGTGCTGTTTATTCTAGCTTGGGAGAGTTCTTTGCATCCTTACTCTGTAAACCCTACGATTACAGAGTAGTCTTGGACAAGGTTCTCATGAAGGTCCCAATTGGGGATCTTGAATCTCTCCCATTCAGTTCCTCTGAGAGAGTTTTGCTGATTAGACCAGTGGTTTGTATATTTTTTTACTTATCTTTCAAACTATTGGATGTGTTCCTCAGGGTCCACCCCAATGGAATTATTGGGTCAGGGATAAGGCATTGGCAGGCCAGTTGATGGTCTTCTCTTTCCTTATTGAGACCCATTGATCAAGAAAGCTAGTGCTTGATTCCCAAATTTGGAAAACCTCTGTTGAGCTTTTTACTATATTCTGGGGAAGAGAGTGGCTACTTAGGAGCCAATTAAACTAGTCTAGGTTGGGAAGAGAGGTGTTGAGATATCAACTAGGGGATAGGAAGAAAACCTGTCTGCCTAATGATGCTGGAGTTAGTTTTTGAATTCTTCATATTCAGAATATGGATTAGGGCCAGGCTGGCCTTGATAGCCTGAATCATTAAACACTTATAGTGACTGGTGGGTGATTGGCCACATAATAGGAAGATATATTCATAACAGATAATAGGGGCAGTGGGGATTGGATGGAGAGCATTAAATAGTACAGTATTTTCCATAAATGTTCTTTAATTGTGGGAGTACTATTCTGTAGATTTATTCATTCATGCATTGAATATGTATTTATTAAGTGCTTTTTATGTGCCAGGCTTATTCTAAAGTCTAAATTTCAAATTTGGTTCTTAAAATTCCTCAAGTTCAGAGTTTAGCTAAAAGCATCGTTATATCTGGAGAAGGAATTTTTATCACATTAAATGCTTAAAATAAGGAGAAATGTCTGTCTCTCTATCCCCCAAGCCCCACCAATTCTCTGTTGATTGGTCTTGTCAATCAGCTATAAGAGGTATAAAAATTTCTTGGACCATACATAAGTGCATACTCCATAGCGTATCCTGGTGACAGAGATTGAGAAACTGATTGGAAGAAAAGTTTAATCACTAGCAGTAGCCTCAGTGTTCTGAGATTTCAGGTTTCTTTCCCTCACTACAAACTTAATTCTTTCTTCTCTGTTTTCAATTTCAGAAGAATTTTAGAATGAATGAGGGAAATTAAAATGAAGTTGGAAGACCAGCAGAGATTTCACTGGGCATGTGGATAGGAAAGATTTGTGAGAAAATTATTCGAAGTTGGATTTTTAAAAAATGTGGTCAGCTCAATATGTAGTTACCGCTAGCCCGATCTGGTGACTTGGGTTGCATTATCTGTAAGTTTAGAACTTTTTTATTGCAGAGAATATTGATACACCCCACATTTTCTTAAATTTGCCCATCTGTTTCTTGTTAAAAGAAACTGTGGGCTGGGCGCAGTGGGTCACACCTGTAATCCCAGCACTTTGGGAGGCCAAGGTGGGAGGATCTCTTGAGCCCAGGGACTATGATCTTACCACTGCACTCCAGCCTGTGCAATAGAGTGAGACCCTGTCTCTATAAAAATTTAAAAACTAATAATTAAAAAACCCCAGAAGAAACTGTGGACATCTGCTAAAATACCCTCGTTTTAGCATATTCAATCTTACTATAAATTTATAATGGTTTTATTTCTGGAGAGTTTTATTCACATTAGTATGATTAGGAAAGAACAGACAGATCTTATTGGCAAACAAATTTAGATTTTCCAAATAATAAAGTCTAAAAGTTTCCAGCTGTAATCTTAAGATATCTTTTCATGGTGTCTGGTTTTAGAAACACTTTCCCCGCCCCCCTCGCCCCCCAGTTCTGAAGAACATGCTTCTTAGGACAGTGATGAGACTTAACACGTGAGAATTGTCCTTTTTGCATTGTGTTATGGTGCATGATGTGAAAGGTTAGAAATAAACACATCTCCGGATGCAACAGGCCTCAGTTAAGACATCTACTATTTTTAATTTATTTTACTATCTGTGGCCTGGCATATTATCTTGGGTGAGAAAAGCCATCCCTTTCCCTTAGTCTGAGGTCATATGTGGCTGTCAGTTCTCTATAATGGACTCGATAATGTTATGATTTTAAAATAACAGAAAATGAACATTTCTTGTTTCCATGATCATGGCAGTAGCACTCTCGTCTTATTTTTATACTGTCAATCACATTCTTCTTTTACAAGAATTCCCCTTGCCCCACCCCCTTCTCCCCAGAAGGTAAATGCCTGTGATTTAATACACCTAAGTCAAACCTGGCTAAAATCCTACAATGTTTGGTTTTGTTCTCAGCTTTTGTGACAGTGTTAAGAGGAAGGCAAGTCATGTAGGGGCTGGGTTGAAAGAGGAGAAAATGGAGCAGCTGTAATTCCCCAGGGGCAGAGTAAGAGATTGTTAATACATTAGTGGTAGGAGGGCTTCTGTAGAAAATACAATGGTACAATTAAATGGGGCTATTTAGAGCACGATGCCAGCGCCAATTCATTAAATGACAGTGGCAATTTCTTTGTAAGTCTCTTTCCTCTCTCCTCTTGAGACTCAGTCTATGCAGGGATGAAAGACAGATATGCAAAGCCTAGGAAGAGGCATGGTTACTTAGATGTCTGCTTCTTCACTTCCTTCCTTGGGAGCTAATTCTCTGATGAAAACCCTTACGGAAGGCAAGGCCCTAGAATACCTGTGCCGTGGACATCGGGCATGAAAATGCATCCTAGAAGATGATCTTCTTCCATATTCCAAAGCACCACTGCTCTGACTTAAAAGCAGATATCTATGCAGAATAAATCTGCTTGGAGATAAAGTGAGTTTTGTAGAAAATGTTGGATTGGATCCTTCTTATTCCAAAAGTATACTGAATTCACATTTGGCAATCTTGTGTAAAAAATATTTCAAAAACAATTTTTTTTCAGGAAAACAATATATTTTAAAAATTAGTTGGAATTTGATTACCTGCATGACCTAGTGAGAACCTCAAGGATTGGGGAAGTGGTTGAGGTTAGTGGTTAAGAATATTTGATGTCCTCTTTTTTCCTGTTACTTAACTATCTAAGCCCCCACTTCCTTATCAGAAGATGAGGATTCTAGTATCTGTCTTATTAGTGTTGCTCTGTGAAATTATAGGAGATAACCAAATGGAAAGCATTTTGCACAGTACCTGGCATAAGACAAATGCCCTCTAAATATTAACTAGTTTTATTATCAATCAATTTTAGCCCCTCCCCCCCAAAAGAGACTTAATGATCTTATTTGTCTGCTGAAGCATAGGGTTATGAGGAAGCTGAGACCTGGAGAGATGATGTATTAATTAGTGGAGGAGCCAAAATTAAAATCTACATTTTATGATCTCCCCTGGACCATCGTGCCTCCTATCATATGGGACTTTTCTGCAGTTGGTAGAGGAGGACTAACAGTTCCTCCACACTCTGTTGTTATAGATGAGGTATGATTTTTTTATATATATTTAAGAATGTAGTTTTTTTTTTTTTTTTAAGAATGTACTTTTAAGTTCTTCATTGCTCAGGTCCTTTGGGTGGCAAAAATCCCTGTGCTCTTAAAGGCATTATCAGTGCTTGAGTTTTAAAAGAACTACATTCAGAGAAAAACGCATCACATTTTGATTATGCCCGAGGCCTGCAGAATGCCATTTAAACAAGTGATATAAAAGGATAGGTATTTGATTAAAACAAATCTCCTTTAATGACTGATGTTTCAGCCTCCATCAGAACTTCTTCAAGGGAACTTCAGTGGGTTTTGCTGATAGCTGGATCCAATTTATGGGAGGTAAAAGAAAAGGCAATTATTTACTTAATTCATCTATTTTAGTTTCCAAACTTGATATATTGAACTTAAAGAATGGTGATGGGTAAGAGAAGAAGTTCTCCTGTTTAAAAAATGTATGACGTCTTGTACTTCAAGGAAACAGCTATTCAATCAGATTTCAGGATGGTATGAAGTCCTTCGTGATAACAGGCAAGTGGCATTTATCAGCTGAACAACTCAGGAAACACAGATGATTGGAACTGGTGGAG